CAAGATGAACAAGACCCTGTACGAGTTGGGTGCGGAGATCGACCTGTCCTACAACAAGCTGACGGACCTGCCCACCGCCAAGATCAAGAGCCCCGCCCTGCGCCGGCTCGACGTGTCACACAACCAGATCGCCGTCATCCCGGACAACATCGACAAAGTCTACACGCTCGTCTATCTCAACCTCTCTTATAACGAGCTGGAGGTGAGCTCCGTGTGCTAGAATGTAATAAAAATAGATAGCATTTACTTGAATTACTTGAATGTAGAACTGGGGTCTCAGGAAGACGGGATGCTCCATGCTTCCTCGTCCCTCTTCATGAGGGTTCATTTCAGTGTGGGCAGGCTGATTGTCTTCATCATCAGCTGGTTGTTGTAGCGTCTGATCGGGTCACGCAGCCTGCTCCTCCTACCTTCACCAGGCTGTACTCCTTTCGCAATCACAACCTCCTTCGTGAAGGAGTCCTCTTCACGACTGCTGGCTAGGTTTTCCCGGACAAGGGTTACTGCAGTGGGTGGATTAAGGGTAAGCACTCCCTCTATGTTTGCTTCTCTGTCAAGGGAAATGAAAGATAGCATTTGTATAGCGCAAGTCCCCGCTCAACAGCAAGCTCTATGCGCTTCACAATTTATATTATTAGTTTTTAGTTAGGTTTTGAATAAAAGAAATCTGAAAAAAATTATAATTGAAAAAAAAAGGGATTATAAATGCGTAGCTGCCTGCCAGTACGTTGAACGGCAAAACGTGTTTAGTACTTTTTTGGGGGTAAGTGTTTTACGACGCTCGCAACTGCAATAGGTCATATTAGGCGAACGAGACGCATCAAACATTTAGAGTTGGTAGGAAATTTTTAATTTTGCCCGGGTGGCGGCTGAAGCCTACTCTTATTGATTTGAACCACAAAGGGGTCTGTAACGGACGCAATTGCACGCGGGACCTCCGAAATTTTTCGCCCTTATCCGAGAGGGCTAGGTGAAGATCTGTCCTACTATAAGATCAGGGGTGTGACTGAGAGGCAGCAGTAAGAAGGAGCCAAGGAGTAGCAGTTGAAAGGCTGCAGAAAGAGTCAAGAGCCCAGAGGAGGGAGCAAAGGAGGTGAGGGGGCTGGGGCAGAAAGTGGAGACTAAAGTAGACGACAGATCACTGTAAGAGAGCAGGAAAAGAGGTGAAAGGAGAAAATGTTAGAGAAGAATAATTTCCGTCGCCATCCGGATTCCAACCCGCGACCTATTGAATGAGAGGCGAGCACCTTAACCTCTAGACCACGAGATCCCACTTAGTACGTTTTTGAGAGGCAACTCGGACAAGGTCTACACTCTCGTCTACCTCA